ATTAGTCAACGATTCATTTCGCACCATACATATATAATTAAGATAATGTTGCAATAATAATGGAATTTGGGGATGACAATGGCCTCCTCTTTGATAATACATATACACTCGACCGCTCAAATCCGTGAGTAGACCAGTAACCGACCAGCTCCGACTCTTAACTGGTCGGGACTGAATACCACACAATCATTCCCGGTAGCCCGAACCTTGAGCAAGGCACTCACCTTGAGATCGGGAGGACTTCCCGACCTACCACCCGTCTCTCCGGCTATCCATCCCTTGAACCTTGTCTCAATCACGTTATGTCCATTATATCCCCTACATCATAGCACTTGGAACCGCCTCCCTAACCGGTCAACTTGCGCCTTCCACGTGGAAGACATGCCGAATCTGCGGCATGTGTTCCCTCTTTTGCCTATATAAGGCACATTTAATGCTGAAAAAGGAGACTTTTAATTGATCTAACACAATTTATCTGAAATCAATCCAAATTGCCCTACTCACTTCTCGAGTAAAAGGGGAGTAATATCATTAGGTAAAGTCCGAATTAAGCTCATCACTCTTGTATATGATTAACACAATCTAATTTTTAATATTATTTTAAAATATATTATTAACAAATTAAGTTATAATTTTTTAGACTAGTTGTACTTGAATTGTGTGATGAGTTTAATCGAGATGGTCTTAGTAAAAATCAAACTTGTGACAATCCAAATACTAAAAACATGCTTCATCCACTTAGTTATTACCACTTTCAAGACAATTTATTTATTTATTTATTTTGAATAGATATTGAGAGTGAATTCCATTTTTGGTCCTACTGTTGTAGGGGCGTTTCCAATTTTAGTCCACTTTAATTTTTTTTTGCCACTTTATAACCACTATTATTGAATGTGTTCCACTTTTAGTCTCACCGTTAGTATTTCCATCAAGAGGCCGTGTAATCTAGGGGTATTTTGACCTTTCTTCTCATCCAAGACTATGTTTGACTAAAGAAATGAGAACATTAAACCTAAAACCTAAGAAACCTCGCTGGCCCATGTTGGAACGAAGAAAACGATGTAGCTTTGGCTTCCCATTCTCGTTGTTCGAAGAGCCATCTTTGAATATCGAAGGAGGAGGACGAAGCGTCTGGATTAAAAGAGAAGAGACAAACATAAAAAGACCAAAATACCCTTTGATTATACGGCCTCTTGACGGAAATATTAACGGTGGACTAAAAGTGGAACACATTCAATAACAGTTGTTGTAAAGTGGCAAAAAAAATTAAAGTGGACTGAAATTGAAAACGACCCTATAATAGTAAACCAAAAATGGAATTCACTCTAGATATTGATATCGACCGAATTTAAGTCAAAATTTAATTAATTAACTAAATAAATAAATAGTAAAAATGACAAATATTTGTCCACATAAATAGTAATTTTTAATAATATATTATATTGTGCCTTGTAAGTTAATTCTATAAGTTTTAACACTTGTATATTGTACATAACCTTTAAAAATTAAATAATCTTTGCAAGCATCTTTAATATGTGATATATATACTTTACACACAGAGAGACACAAACAGTGGTGGCAAGTATGATGAAGAGATGGAAATACAATGGTTGCAAAAACTGTACAAGGAACGTGCCAAGTGTGTTGTCCGCTAGGGTCAAATGCCGGTGCCGGTCTCCGGACACGTGGGAGAGAGCCTCCGGTCCTTCCTTCAATTATATCTCTATCACAATTAACAGCCTCGTATCCACCTCGGAATCCTTTGACTTCCACTCTCCAGCAAAGCTGCTGCATGTGTTTGAGTGGTCATGAGGATAACTCGCAATTATTATCTGAGGACATGTACAGTATATCGTACGAGATAAATTTTACTTTGTAATCTTAACAAGTAAAAAATTATAAAGAGATAAATCAGTCTAAATTGTTCATAGCTGATCGACTCATACCAAAAATGCTGCATGTGTTTCTCTTCCAAAATGCATATTAATCATTTTCCAGCGGTGCACCTCTTCCACAACTTTCTTTTGTAATAAGATTTTTAATTTTCCAAAATGCATATTAATTATTTCAAGGTTTTCGTTTATTCATAAATTCCAACCATTTTTATTTTTAAAGTTTAATTAATTTATTTATAGAGACATTAAGTCGCGATGAGGATGTCAAGCACCTTGTGCTCAGATAGCATCCGGATTGGACTTCTATAAGGGAGGTTGTGATTTCAAGCCTGAAGAGATTTACTACATTGTAATAGATTCAACCTATGTACATAGAAATAATACTATAAATTAGTAAAAATGGTACCAATTGATCAATTATCACTTAAATATATTATTTTTTATTTTCTTTTATATAAATATATAAAAATCTCTTTAAAAATATCTTGTGTTGAGATATTTTAAATGACAACTATATTAATATATTTTTTTCAATATATCATATCGTTTAATATTTTGTGATGAACTTGCAATAGTGGTTTTATGAACCTACAATATTGAATTTATGTACCTACAAGTTAACGATAATATAGTGATTTTTGTACTTAAAATAATGACATTATGTACATGTGAGTTTAATTTATTAATGTTTTAAAAAAACAAATCAATATTAATGTCATTAAAAATATCTTAATTATAAATTTTTAACGATATACTTTTTATACAATAATTTTATTTGTAAAAAAAATGAAAAAGAGAAATAAGTATGAGGAGAAACGATAGGAATCACAGGATGACTTGGTGCATGTAGTAATATGTACCTTTGTCCATGATATAATGATTGATTGATTGTAAATTGTACTGTTTATCTATGTTTAAACTATAAAAGAATGCAATTATTTTAAAACTCATGAAATAATATTGTCACCCTTAAAGAGGTCTTATCATATATGAGGAAACTTGCGATCGGACTAAAAAAAAATGTAAGAAAATATTTATTTATTTACAAAAAGTGTTATTTATGTTAAATTATATTTTCTTTTCTTGTAAAACATCAGTGATATTTCTTTGTGATATAAACGTGAAATTTAAATTGAGATTAAAAGATGTGCTGCTATAGAGATTTCATGCCTTACGCCGTTGATTGTGTAAGTAGGTGACTATATGGCCTTTAATTACTAAAAAAATTGGCAGGTGCAGTGATAGACATATATGGTGCCTAACACATTTATTTTATGCCACTATATTCTTTATTTTTTAAAAACAATAATTTGATGGTTATTCCCTCGCAGCCATTTTAATTTTATTTTTTTCTGAAAAAAAAAAAAAAAAAAAAGACACAGGTTTGATTAAGACAGTTTCTTGTGTGGAAATTCTTCAAATCTCATTAAGATTTTTTCACATGACTTCTATGGTATGCTTTATTTAAAGGCACTCTTTGATGTCTCTTTGCTAATAATAATAGCTAATATGCTAGAAACCCCTATAATTACCATTTCTTGACATGTTGGGTTGTTTAGTAAACAGTTGTTAGCTGATAGTTGTTAGATGGTTGGGTTAGTGAGTTTGACTAGTTGATAGAACTAGCTGCTTGTAGAAAAGTGTTTAGTAAATTAGCTGTCAGCTGATAGCTGATTACACACAAAATGACTTTCTTAAAAAGCTTATCGAAAAAGCTGCATTGAGCAGTTTTTTTGAATTTTAACATGGAACAATAAGTTGTTATAAAAAGCTAATTAATCAAACACTCATATTGATTGTTTAACCAAGTCAAACAACTAATACTGGTCAAATAAGCCAGAATTCACTTATAAACTAATTATGTTACCAAACTAAATCGTTATCTTTTCATGGGATATTTAGATTCCTTATTAATTAACTCAGGATTGAGTCAACAAATTCATAAGTAATTCATGAAAATAAATATATATATTTTTAAAATTCAAGACTAATAGGGAGGGGTAATTATAGGCGTGGGAAACATTTTCTTAATAATAATAATAACAATAAATAATTTATCTATTAATTTTGCTCAAATGATCAATATTGTTGAATTGGTTAGTTAATTTCATTAGGTGGAGGGGTCAAATTGACAATGCAAATTTAGAAAAAATTACAGGTTCACATGTGTTCACTTAAGAATTGAAGGATCACATTTCTAAATAAGAAATAATCAAGGGACTAACAAAATGCTGTTATCTCTAATAATTTTAAAAAAATAATATTGTAATTTTGAGGTGGAAAATGTTGTCTATTAATCTATCTAGCTAGCTTCTTGAGTAGCCCAAAATTCTATTCTCCCCTCCAACAAGGACCATCACCCTTCTCTCTCTCTCTCTCTCTCAAAGTCTTTCTAAACTATTCAAGCTAAGTAACCTAAAACAACCAAGCACTTCCCATCTCCCTAAAAAGCAATAAAAAAGCTATCCCAAAACCCACTACCCCCTACGAAAAGAAAATAACATCTTGTTCATATTCACTTACCAATTCAACTCTCACTTAGCTTCAAGAACCTCGGATCCATCTCCATGAATCTCTACTATCAACTGGTTTTTGCTGTTTTTCCCAATCTCTGAGGAAAACATCACCGATCCCAACCCCCCCTTATCTTCTTTTTGGTTCAGGTAGCTAGAAAGCAAATCAAATCAATTCAAGATCCAAGAAAGCTTCAAAATTCATTCCTTTTCCAACAGAAAGAGAGTTCAGATTCCCTTTTTTGATTTTCGAGTCTGCCTAGAGAGAGATCAGTACAACGTTGTTGTTGTTTTTTCTCCATGTCTGATAACCCATTCTATTACCATAATCACATGGGAAGTGGAAGGATCAACACATTCCCTTTCTTCGGCGATGATCACGCCGACCACAACCCTTCTTCTATCTACGCTTCCTCTGATCATCATCACCCGCCGTCTGCTCCGACACAGAATCTCCTCCACCAAGAATTCCTTCCTTCTCCGTTCATGAGTTTCACCGAGAGCTTACAAGGCTCCATGGATTACCACACTCTCTCCAACGCTTTTGGGATGTCTTGCGGCTCTTCGTCCGAGGTTGTCTGCACTCCGGCCGATCATCAGCAGCAGCAGCACCACCAGGAATCTTCTAGAAAGAGTAGTGTTTCTGCGGGAGAGGCGGCGGCGGGAAGCAGCGCGGAGAATATTCCGTTTGTGGCGGCGAATTCATCGGTGTCGTCCTCGTCCAGTGAGGCTGCGGGGGGAGATAACGGAGAAGAAGATTCCTCAAAGAGCAAGAAAGATCTGATACTGCCCAAAGGGTGTGAGGACGGAGACGACGACAAGTCCACAAAAATGTAGGATTTTATTTATTTTTTATTATTATTTTGTGGTTTAATTTAATTTAAGCTCAAGATATCACACCTTATGTCACGCCATGTTTCCCTCAATTATATATATTCTTGAATTGTTTGGTAGAATTAATTAGTATACATACATACAACTTGGATATATTATTTCCAATTTGGACTTTGGGAAGTCTTGTGCTACCTAGTCTTTTCAACCCATTACATTATATTTTACCAACAAAATTTAGACTATTTAGCATAAAAAATAGTATGATTTTAATTAATTTCCTGATATTTTATCTGCTTCCAACATCAAAATATTCATCTAAAATTGAATTGATTTTTCTTCTTGATCGATCTTCTCCCAGGTGGAATCCAATTTTCATGTTAAACAAAAACCCTATTTTTTTCGACAGCATATATACAACCATTTCTCACTCCTTAGCTTGCATTATGTGTGAAGAACAGTACTAATTATTAATGTTACATTAGTGGTGTGAGTGAGAATATATATGGTGATTGAATATATATAAATTTCTGTATAAATATTTCAGAAACAAAGGTGCAGCGAAGAAGAAAGGGGAGAAGAAGCAAAAGGAACCAAGATTCGCCTTCATGACAAAAAGTGAGATTGATAATCTTGAAGATGGATATCGCTGGAGAAAATACGGACAGAAAGCTGTCAAGAACAGTCCGTTTCCCAGGTTTTCATTTAATTTCATGCTAAACCTATTCATGATTAGATTTTTCAACCAACCTTAATCTTCTAGAAAAGCACATGAAGAAACGTAACATTGTGCCATAACTCCAGCCAATTATGTTGGTCAGACTCTAGCTCGACTTAATAACTACAATGTTACAAATTTAACTCTTATTGAAAGTGACTTAGTTTATTGACCTTCTTAATTTAACCTGATCAGCTATGAACGATCTAAACTGATTTACGTCTTATGATTCTTTGTCGGTTAAGTTCACCAGAAGGGTTATGTATTCAACGTTATATTGTTGCAGGAGTTATTACAGGTGCACCAGCCAAAAATGCACCGTGAAGAAGCGTGTGGAGAGATCATACGAAGACCCAACAGTCGTGGTCACCACCTACGAAGGGCAGCACAACCACCACTGTCCGGCGACTCTACGCGGCAATGCGGTGGCGCTGCTATCCCCAGCTTCATTCTTGTCACCATCTCCGGCCGCGCTCATGCCCACCTTCCATCAAGACCTCTTGCTCAATCCAATGCTGTCAGCCTCCACAAATTTCCAGACTTCCATGTACGGCAGCTATCATCAGCACAATCACCATCTTGGCCTCAACCCTCACCACTATGATCATCAGATGACCCAATCCGCAGTCGATCAGTACACTTTATTCCAGGACATGCTTGTCTCATCATTGGGCCATAAACAGGAGCATCCATGAGATGGATCGAGTACGTACGTTATTATTCCTTCACGCCTTGCTCCTGTTCGGCAAACATCTATATATAATATAAATGTGTAGTCTCGATCATCACTATCATTTTAATTTTATAATTCAGAGACGGAACACATTTTTCAATTCACTATTAGAGCTGTTGATGTTTATATTTATTGTCTGAGCTACAAGGATGGGAGGGTGGATGGGTATATATATATATATATAGACATGTGAGATTATGATGTGTTTATTTGGTCATGAACTTGTTGAGTCTTCTTTGAAGATGTAGATGACTGGAATTAAATTATTTTTGATAAAACATTTTCCCTTATATGTGCTCAAACTAAACCAAACTATTTATTCTATCACGTACTCCTAATAATTCATCCAAAAATTGTCATTACAAAGAATTTTTTAAGGTGTCAATTAAACAACGTTATCCTATGTCGATTTGCATCAGGTACTGAGGATATGTTTCTTAATATAGTGTTCAATGCAACCAAACACATTATGGGTAATTGTATTTAATGCAAATTGGCTTGGTGTCGATTGATAACAAATAAAAGAGTAATTAAGGTGGATACCCTAACCGGTTTTGCTAGCTTAATTAATTAGAGGTTTGGCATTTGTCAATTCTAGTTGTGATGACTACCAATCAAAAAGGGATTCCTAATTAGTCAATAATTGTAGTGTTGAATGAGAGAGACAAAAGTGTAGAGAAAGGAGTCTTGTTGGGCTAGCAAAGAGAAGAAATTAAAGTTTTGAGAACGTATGTAGCTAATAAGCACTGGGAATAAAATCATGGCTGCATTATTGAAAAAAGCAATCATTATTGCTTCAGTTTTTCCCACTCCAGCTGGGGATGGATTGATGATGAAAGAAGCTAAGAGGTTGCAGCACATGTGTAAAGATAAGCTTGACATTGTTGACCTCTGCGCTGATAATTAACGTTGTCTCTCACGAACTAATTAACCACACAATATAATTCACAATGTCCAGCTTGAGTCAAAAGAGAGCAGGTTTTTTGTTACTTTCAGGACGTACTAACACACCACAACGTAACATCGATCTACAACGTAACATTACCCATCCATGTTTTCTAGAGTTTGGAATATTCAATTCTACATATAATATAATACTCGTCTAGAATAATTTAATTCTCACATTAAATCAGCAAAGAATTTGATAGAATTAATTCAAACGACGGGGTTGGTTTTTATAGTTACATGTACATTTTCTGAAAAATAAAATTAAGAGTAATTACTCAAAATGGTCCCTCAACTATAGCTAAATTCACAAATTGATCCTTGACTTTCAATTTTAACCAATTAAGTCCTTAACTTTGCAATTTTAACACGAGTTAATTACTGAAATAGTCCCTTGACTATAGCGAAATTACTAATTTGATCCTTGATTATTTTTTTTGATCAATTTAGTCCCTCAACTTTAAAAATCTTAACCAATTTGGTCCTCCGTTTGTTTGACCGTTAGTCAACCGTTAACTTGGGACCAAATTGGTAATTCGCTATAGTCAAGGGACCATTTTGGTAATTAACTTTAAGGGTCGACAATTCGGTTCAATTTTCTTGAACCGTACTGTACCAAACTAGTTAGATTCGGTAATATATCGAACAACCGAACGGTAATAGATTCTTGTATACAGAATTGTTCGATAAAAACTCGAACCGAACTGAATTGTTCGGTAAAAAACGAACCGAACCGAATACCGTTTGAACTATGGATTGCTATTTTGTTATATATTAGACTTTGGATATGGACTATGTAAACACCATAACACATAATATAGAACTTTTGATAATAAACCATAAAAAAATCAAATAAAACATTTACGAGAGATACCCGTGAGAATATGAGCTGAACGGAGAGCAAGCAGCAGGGACTTGGATTTAATTTTTATTTATTTATTTATTTATTTATTTATTTATTTATTATTATTATTATTATTATTATTATTATTATATTTTAAAAAAAAATCAAACGGTATTCGGTTCAGTTCAATTTTTTACCGAAAAATTCGAATCGGATCGGTTTTTTATCGAACCATTCGGTATACAAGAATCCAATATCGTTCGGTTGTTCGGTATATTACCGAACCAAACTACTTCGGTTCGGTTCGGTTAGATTCGTGAAAACTAAATCGAATTGCCCACCCCTAAAGTTAATTACCAAAATAGTCCCTTGACTATAGCAAAATTACCAATTTGGTCCTAAGTTAATAGTTGACTAACGGTCAAACTAACAGAGGACCAAATTGGTTAAAAATTTTAAAGTTGAGGGACTTAATTGGTTTAAAAAAATAGTCAAGGACCAAATTGGTAATTTCACTATAGTCAAGGGACCATTTTGGTAATTAACTCTTTTAACACGATTTGGTCCTTCGAACACTTCCGCATTAACGCTGGCGCCCGCGCCGTCATCGACGATCTCCAGAAATACCCGGAGCACATGGAGGCCTCCAGGATGACGCTGCACCGGTTCGGAAACACGTTGTCTTCTTCACTCTGGTACGAACTCAACTACATTGAATCCAAAGAGAGGATGAAGAAAGGCGACAGGATTTGGCAAATTGCTTTCGGCGGTGGATTCAAATGTAACAGTGCGGTCTGAAAATGCAATTGGAACCTTAAAAAATCGACGATGGACCATGAAATTACATATATATCCTCAAAAATCACAATCAACAAACGGTCAAATAGACGGAGGACCAAATCGTGTTAAAATTGCAAAGTTAAGGACTTAATTGGTTAAAATTGAAAGTCAATGACCAATTTGTGAATTTAGCTATAGTCGATGGACCATTTTGGGTATTTACTCTAAAATTAATAAAGTAAACATGGCATAAGAATTATTTTAATATGAAAACTACAGCAATTCCTTTTAATTTGCATGTAAGCCTCACTCTTTGTAGATTTTTTTTTTTTTTTTTTTTGTCAACAGCTACTTTATTAGCATATCCTAGCTAGGTTGTTAATTGATAGACATTCTTGTACTTCAACTTTTCTAAAAGTTATCCAAAACATTCATCCATACTATCTTTGCCATATCTAATTAATTTAGTGACTTATGCTCTGTTGTTCCCGTTGTTCTTGACTTAGCTAGACTTGCTTTGTTGAGATTCTTTTAGTAAACCATATTTTCTCCACATATATTGCTCTTCTAGTGGATCATTATTTGTAAAAGAGATTAATGGTCCCTGTTGATAATGAGTAAAAGGCCTTAACTAAAAAGTCCAAAAATTTTTTATAAAACAATATTACACAGCGAAAATAAATATTTTCAAGATAAGTTAAAAGCTGAAGTAAAGATGAGTTATGGCAAAATAAAGTGTGCAAAAGTAAATGACATAAGAGATTTTAGGAATAAGGGTCAAATTAGTCATCGAACGTAACGTAAAAATGCAATTGAGCCACTCAACTAAAAACAAATGCAATTAGACCATTTAACGTTATAAAATTATGCAATTTGTCCCAAGTGACCTACAATGGCAGGTTACCAACAAGTAATTAATTAAAATTTTTAAAAAGAAATTAAAAATTATTTTAAAACAAAAGAAAAAAAAAAGGGGGGGGGGACCAGCAGCAGCTCCGGTGATGGCAGGTCGTCGACGGCGGCCTTCTCCGACCTCTCTTCCCCTGATCAGCATCGACAACCTCCTCTCGTCTCTCTTTCTCTAAGGTATACATGTTTTCTAAGAATCAAGACCTTCTTTTCTCATATATGGAGCCCATGGCTTGGCAATGTATTTCTAAAGCTTTCCATGCATATTTAGAGAGTGAAGATTTCATTGGGAACGTAACTAACATAGTTTTTCTGATAGGATTGTGCATGGCAGTTCAAGCACTTTTATCTCTTGAATCTCAGGGTTTTCTAAATGTTTTGTCTGGGTATGTTTCTTTTATGGAAAACATCTTCTGTAAATCATTTTCCTTTGATGTCTAAAACTCATATTTAATACTTGAACTGAACAGAAGTATGTTGTCGATCTGTACGCATCAGGGGAAGAGAGGTCGGAGAAGGCTGCCGTCGACGACCCGCCATCACCGGAGCTGTTGCTGGTCTTTTTGTTTTTCTCTTTCTTTCTTTTTTTTTTTTTGTTTTAAAATAATTTTAATTTTTTAAAAAAATCTTTAATTAATTACTTGTTGGTAACCTGCCATTGCAGGTTACTTGGAACAAATTGCATGATTTTACAACGTTAAATGGTCTAATTGCATTTGTTTTTAGTTGAGTGGCTCAATTGCATTTTTACGTTACGTTCGATGGCTAATTTGACCCTTATTCCGAAATTTTATAGTGGCTTGAAGGTGATGTAATCTTTCTACTCCACTATTCTCTTATGAGGATATTTACTTGCAATTTGTATCTACACAAAATTACAGTGAATGAACCAAATGGGTACTTTGATCACAAAGTATATACGAGTTTGCTAAGGTTTTCACAAGACAACCCCTGCTACTCTTCTACTATCTACCACACAGATAGAGATATACAATACTTCAATACACAAAGGTTGAATAATCACCCAACTAAGTGACTAAGAAAGACTAGATCTTGCTTGAATTCTCTTGTTGAACTTGATGATTGATGTTTAAAGCTCTTTGAATGCTTGTAAACTCGGAATTATCTCATATATCTTCTATGTTTCTTCTTTAAAAATTCCTCCTATTTATTGCAATGTTTCGAATTTGTCTGTTGGAGATATATATATATATATATATATATATATATATATATATATATATATATATATATATATATCTCCGACTTCGCAATAAAATATTAGGTCTAGATTTGACAAGGTTGACGTCTAATAGTTGTTTGCAACTTGTCCTTAGAATTCTACTTTATGTAACTTTCAAGCAGAACATTTTCTTAAAGGCATGTATCTGCTTTGGATAGTCTACCAACGCTCCAAAAGGAATAAGGATCTAGTAGAGCATTGACCTAAATATCCGAATGTTAGTCGAAATGCCTTGTTGCTTATCGTCCTTCTGTCATAAGCTTTGCTGCTTATCTCAAAGTTCTGTTGTTGAGTCTTAAAAAGTCATGCTGCTTATGTTGAGGTTGTGCTACTCAAACTCAATTACAATAAGTATTTAGATAATTGCTTTTAGAAAAGTGCAAGTTAAACATTAATTTTAATGCCAACTATAATGA